TAAAACTAAATGTCGTAAAGCCCACATAAAAAAAATCAAATTGTATTAGGACCGGAACACTATACAAGAACATGGACCGAGGACTATTAAGTGGTCATAATAAAAGCAACAATACCGACCAATAAATAAGTTTCATTCGGTCACTGCCAACACCTCACTCGTGGCGCCAGAACCAAATTACAAAGCAACGCTAACCTGTCTCTTTTTAAATTTGATCGTGGCTAACATCACACACCCATGAACTGTACAATAAAACGTCTGTATAAAAACAAAACGGCATATATTATTAGGTCGATACACGAGTAAGGTAGATCCACTAAACAAACAATCATTACAATAACGCACCGTCACTGTGTTGGAAATCACTTATTGTGGCAGTGACTTGCAATCGAGCAAGTGCCTTATCCTATGCTCCTAGACCATGTTCTAAGACCCCCCGTTTAAACGGATATACAATCTAGTTTGTTTGTTATACTAACAGTACATAATTTGTTCATTATCGCTTCTCAAAAATGTTTTATGTTTCCTGATTTTAATTTAAAAGCTATTTTATAAAGGGAAACAATATGATTATTGTAAGTTAACATAAATACTGTCCTATGGTTTATCCGTCCATTTTGTGTCAATATACAAAACTCATGATGGATGACGCGTCTAAAAGAGTATAATGGCATTTATTATTTGTAGGTTCTTGTGTTGAGGGCATAAACATTGACGTGCCTTTAACGGATGGGTCAAATGAGGCGCGGCGGAGGATCTCGAATTGCAGCGAGTTGGCGCCGGGTCGACACATCTGAGAAGTTAGCACACCCATTCAAAGGGACAAAAAAGACAACAATACAGCAAAAGTTCAGGTCGTGCTTCACTTAACAGAGTAATAAGGGACCGTAACAAAAGACCTACGTCACTGGGACCTATTGTTTTGACGTTTCAAGAAACGCGATGGTGGCATCAATGAATAATTAGCCAGAGCTGAATATTTTAGTCATAATTGGTTAAATAAATTGCACGTAAATCTCATGACTTATAAATCATTAGGTAAGATCAGTCTTAATTAGACTAAGAGACGTCAACGGAACCCGATGTCTCGCACTGGGATAAATCAACGTTTAAATTGCTTTCCGCAACGACTATCCCCGTCGACTGCGCGTTAATAGCGCGTGCAACCGAAATCTTAGACGAATGTTTGGTAATATTTTTTACTTTGAAATGTAATCCCTGGCGTCTATGCGAAGCCATGTGTGTAAAAACGAGCGAAATGGAATTTATATACGGCTTGGTTTGAAGACTAATTGGGCTGTTGAGTTCGTGGATTCAATGGAGGTTGGAATATTCATTTTTTTAAGTTAGCATCCATAAAATTTTGCACGAATTATAAAGATTTTATCCATAATTTTAATATTTGTTTAGACCGCTATAAAATTTACTATAAACCCTTTACCGCTATTAAATTAATTAGTTACGATACTTAAAAGTGTAAGTACAGTCAATAATAAACTATACTTCTGTGTTAATCTCACTGAGATAAAAACGATGTAAATATATTTTGTTGTATATCTACGTAGCGACAGAGTTATATATTCATTAACAATTCTCGGAGTGATTATTAAAATATTTTTGGTATTGCATACCAGCATCGTAATCAATAATTAACAAAATAGATTTTTTAAACGAGGTCACTTACGCTTGTTAAGATAAACGCAAACTGAATTCACCTAAGTATTATTATTATGTAAATTAACAAATATTGAAAATAGATTTATTGTTTCTTGTTCAACAGTGAAGAAGCAAAAAGGAAATTTTGAATCAATATGTAGGAGGAATTACATATTCAAAAAAAAATATCATAACAGAATTGTGTGATTTGAATAATAAAGAAATATGTAGAATAAAAAAAAATATAGCAATTACATATTTATATTTGCGTTCAAGCCCATTGAGGAGGGCATAATGGAATAATCTCAGTTGAATCGTTTTAACTTGAAGAAGAAAGAGCTTAAGTTTTTTTCCATATTCTCTTTTTAGATCTATGTATTTGTAGAACATAATTTGTCAGATATGACACATGCTACTTTTAAAGATTTATTAAAAGTTTTGGATAGAGAATATAAAAAAAATATTTTAACTAAACGAGACACGTGTAAATATAATCGAGGTAATATCGACATACACATATCTATACATATATCTATACACTCACATACACATATCTATACATATATATATTCTCAGACATTTTAATGAACTTTTGAATAGTAAATTTTCCTACATTTTATTTTATTACCTCATTACCATTCAAACAGTTAAGCCATCATGAACGAATGCAAAACTTGGTGCCTTTAATAAATTGTTTTTACCATGAAAACAGATACGGCTATCGGTAATCATAAAAGAGGCGTATTTGGCGAGATTCAATATTAATGGAAGGTTTGTTGTTAAAATTGTTTACAAAACTTATTGATACGACAACATATTTTCGAATAATCGATTATTATAACATAGAACTGAATTAAAATTATATGTAATAATTATATTCAAAAGTTACAAAAACTTTATGAGAAAACAATAAAAGCTTTAGAAAAGAAGATGTACCAACTACCGATCAACAAAAAAACAAATAAAACCATTCATGTTATTTTATTTTTTATTAAGATATTTTCGTCAACGTTTTCCAAGATGTCGTAAATCATCAATAATAACAAACCCCGATTCATTGACTAAACAAAACTTTATCAACGCAATTACAGGGCCGTTAAGGAATAATTATATAACAGGAATAAAGCTGAGCATTCACAAATCAAATAGTATCGTATTCGTTTTAAAGTCCGCGACTATAAAAACCGAACCAGTGATTATCAGACTCAAGCAAAAAAAAAATACATTATTATCTTGCCTTATCTTATTTGTAATATGAGAATGTTTTGTTTCTAAGATTTGGGATCTTGAGTTAAAGAAAAAAATCGCAATTCTTATCTAGAATGGATAAATTTAACATTCCATTCTATGCAGGTAATCAATGTTAAATGATATGTTTTGCTATTGGTAACTTTTTATATCTCCATGTCTGGTCAAAGATAAAACAAAATGTTAGGTATTATTATTATTTCTAAAAGTAGAAAATAAGTTTAATATCACAAAATGATATTTTATATGTCTGTATAATTAGTCATATTATGAGCTTATGTTCTAGGCACATAATTATTAGGTTTTATACGTATATCAAAAACAAATAAAGAAGGTTTAAATACAAACATATTATTTTATTGTCCGTATAGTGTAATTACTGAAAATAGTTACAACTTTATGTTTTCATATTGAAAAGTTTATGATAATTCATATAGTGAAGAGATGGGTCTTTTAATTTTATTATTATTAAGAAACTTAACTTCTGTTCAAATCTTAATGTTTTCTAATAATTACGTAACAATATTCAATTTCTTCTACACATAACAAAAAATATAAAACATCACAGAAATCATAAGCAACAATTTAATTCAATCACCAGCCAGTAATATTGCACAAAAAGAATAATCATCAAGTCAACGGGAATGAGCATTGATAATTTATAAAATTCCAAAGAGTCGGAAACGACCGGCCACCGGGCGGTCCCGAACAATTAATAAACACCCAACCTCTTTAGATAGGAAGCAACGATGACACATTTAAGTATAATTTCCAACGTACAAACTGATCATATAAAACAAAACATAAAGGCGTTTCCATAAATCGATAATTCCATCATCGAGACCGGCAAATACGAAAATAAGCATCAAAGTCTTTTTTAGTAGAGAGACGACAAATGTCAACCAGCTCGGTTCAGTGGCTAACACATGTTACACACTGTCTGACAATATTTACGTTGCTTTATTAGTAGGAACGGAGAAAATGAAAACAACCACTCGAAATTTCAAAGCAGATGTTATAACCGATTGGCCCAGTGACGGACTAATTGGAGACAAATTTGAAATAATGTGGTTCATTATTAACGGATTTAAACTCGACGAACACATACGTTAAGTGTATATAATGATGATAATAATATACACAATAATCACAGAAGCATTAACAAATTATATATACAATTACAAGAGAAACGAATAACTTTAGTTTTTACATTAGTGATAAAAGTGGTTTTCACAGATAGCTAATTTAAATAGTAATTTGCAATTTGTTTGAAATACCAAAAGGTAAAAACCTCAGTTCTCTCATTAAGTTCACTTAACAACTATTCACATATCCAAGAGAGGATGCCAATAAAATTCAAATCCAATTGCGTCGGGGCTTGATTTACAACGAATCAATAAAAGAGGGCTATCATTACAGTTTTTATAGCTTATACAATAAAAGTAATGTACCCGTATTTAGAACTAAACGCTTAAATGAAGACCTAAAGAAAAGTAAATTATAACATGAGAATCGATAATGGAGTTTCAGAAAAACATACAATTAAGAACTTCATACGATTAAACAGCTGTTTGAAGAATTAATACAAATTTATTGTAAAATTCGAAGACAAAATAATATGGAATCATTGGTAACATTCAATCCAATTTAGTTTAGTCATTCTAAATCACTGTAACCATTTAAACATTGAGACCGCAACATGTATAAATTAAAAATGCAAAATTTGTTTGTAAAACTATATATCAAGTGCGCCCAGGAACAATAGATGAAAAAAAAATGGCCCGAGAGGTCGTAAAACAAAACAAGGGACATAGATATGTCAAGATATGCGGTGGGGGCCCGGCGCCGAGGCAGCTATAGACCCAATTAGACGCACACCTTTTAGACATGTGCTCTAACTAACGCCTAAAAACGGGACGGGACCTACATCCGTTCCCGTTCGTCACTTTTTTTTATAAAGCTCGTACACTTTCGCAATATTTAGCTACTTGTGTGTTTTGATAATTGGATTGTGTTTGACATGCGTTTTAGTTGTTGACATTTGGAGGGCGTCTATTTTGTATTCGGTTTTTTTTTACATGAGAACAGTAACTTACCTTTGTTCGCACTAATTTGGCATTCTCTTTGCACATTTTGGCAAGAGAATGGTACTCGCCCCTCGCAGCGCATAGGATCCACTGTTTCTGCTTGGAATCCAATGGATCCGTTTCCTTTTGTTCAAGCTGTGAATGTCAAATAGTGCACATAGATTTAACTTTGATTAAAAAGTTTACATTAATTTTACGCTTCTCGCGTAGTTTATCGAGTCACCTTTTTATTAATGAAAGAAATCGCGTTTTCGGGGAGAACAACTGCAAGTTTTATGCAACTCTACATTATAAAACATTAAGGTGTATTCGATCGTAGCGTGTCTCGGTGTAATTAATTTGAAGTTATTTTTTAACTGAAATTATGTGCTCGTACATTTTTACACGAATGTAACACTAATGTTCACTATTTATTTTACGCCCCAGAAACTTGTTTTGAAATATGTTGTGCTGCATGTAATGATAAAAAAAATATCATACAATCAACTTAATCATTATTAATAAGCAAATATATACGTCGTACAAATATATACGTTTTATTTCGAAATAAAATATATAATTATTAGATACTTAATAAATAAAAATATGATTGATTAATCCGTATTTGTAGTTGCATCCACAAAAGTAGCGGTTTATCACATGATTTCTTTGATCATTTTTGCCAAATACATAAAACTCCTATGACTATTACTTCTTCGTGCATTTTAAAATTAATTTCTCAGGAATCATAATGATAATAAACATACGTTTTGTAACTTACCGATGCTCTGTCTTCTTCGTCAACACTCTGTAAGAAGACGAAAAGAACATAATTATTTTCAAAATTATATACTTAAAGTATCAAACATTCCAACATATCCTCGTTATTATTTATTAATATTTCAATTCATACGATCCAAAGAAATAAACTCACAGCGCTGAAAACAAAAGATTAGTTTTATAAATAAAGACGATATTTACATACATAATAAATATCATAACGACACAAATAAATTAATCGGAACCTAATATTTCAAAATTAATAAATGAGTACTTATATTGTGAAAATAATATTTTGAATTAATGGTCGATAAATTCGAATTCTCCCGTCTTCAGGCTTGCGTTGCGATTGATGACGTGGCCGTAGGAACTTAACTCACGAGATACGAGATTTTAGATATGAGACCTTAACAGAAAAGGTTAAGAGAGATTTTTGCTTGTATTTCTGTTGATTATACTTCTCTTACTGATGAAGATTTGGGCGTGCGTTGCTCAGCATGACCACCTTACCACCTGTCGTTACATATTTATGCCTACACTATTGGCTTCACTGTTAGGGACTTCAATATTGACAGGATAACATCCTTAATGTGATGTGCTTGATTTAATAAGAAGATTAAGTTTGTACGGACGGTTTTTTGGGTTCTGCGATAAAGACAATTATGTTTCATATTAATTTTTCCTAAATTTATGTTCCACGTCATTATCAAGGTTACGTTACAAAAATAATCAATGAACGCACTCTCCAACGCGAATCTATAATCTCATTTGATATATTAAAACTATTATATAGTCATGATTATGGTCATAATATAAGTTAATGGTAGTTTTAATTAAATGCAAACATGCTCAATTTGTTTAATTATAAAATACTTGTTTAAATATAAGATATTTGATATATAGATTATGGAACCATTATCTTAACATGGTTTCACCTACATATATAGGAATAAATTACAATAGGCTTTATATTATATTATTTTGCAGCTGCATCAGTTACAAATGTGCTAGCGGTCATAATTAAACAGTATTAGTACATAGAAAGTATAAAAGAGATCGGTTCAGGGAGTCACTTATTTACGATGTTACCTCGCATTGACGACGCCAGCTCGTCGCCGAGAGCCCCGCGTGCGACTCAGCATGGCGCCTCTCGGTGTGCGAAGCTATACCATATACCCACTCATTATAATAGTCGACTTGTCGCCGTTGGAAATTTGTTTACGGGATTTATGGCTTTCGATTCTTTGAGGGAAGTATTTACGGAATTTTAAAATTATTCTAAATTTCGTAGGACTCTTTCTTATAATTCATTATCGCAAAATTTTATAAAGATTATGGTCATGTGATCAATTATAATTATAGGTACTATCAATTATAATTATAGGTATTCTGATATTTATAGCTAATTGGTTTAATCACAAAGAATATTTATCGCAGCTATACGTAATGATTCTTATCATTTTAACTTAACACAAGCGTGATGATTAAAAAACACATAACGCTAGACAAACATTAACTGTGAATAACAAATGACAATCTATGAAAAACAAAACCCTACTTATATGTTTTACATGAGCCATTATAGATAAAAAGAATTAAAGAACCTACAATGACATCTTATCTGAAAGGATCGCTATTTTTCGTCCACAAGACAATACCTTTCTAATCATCTACATCACTGACTCAACGTTTTTGCTTTCCCGGGTCCAATGCTAAATTTCAATTGTTTCACGTATTATGCGTGCTTATCTCTCAATAGAGGCTAATTCCGTTCCTATTTCATCGACAAGGCTCGTTAATTGTTGTACTGTTGATGGCTGCAAGTGATTTTGAGAGGCGAATGGCGAGAACAATGAAATCGGTCATATTTTCCTGGCGGCAGCGAACCGTGGTCGCTTATCTCTCCCATCACGCATAATAACTAGTATGAGTTTGTTCAGACGCTATATAAAGCTTATTTTTGCCAACTTCTTGATAGATTTATGACCAACAGCTTATTGAATATAACGGTTTGTAATTAACAAAAGAACTGTTACGTACACGGCAAAACGTTTTAAGATCTTTTTTATACCTTATTGTTGCAATGAGAATAAGACAAATCTTATAAATACTGTTATGTTACATAATAATTTTATTTTAAGAACAATTCACGATGTTTCTATTGCCTCTAAGAAACATATTAAACATTTAATGGAACATTGGCAGATTTAAAATTAAACATCAGATGAGATGACGGTAATAAAAAGTTTACTAAGTGCTTAGCCACTAAAACAGAATGAAATTCACGTTTAGCACTTATTTAGCAGAAGCTCTAAACCTGAAAGATTAAACTATCTACTTAAGCATTACTACTAAGGTACACGATTAGATAGCCAATATAGAGTATTGTTTACCTAAATATAATCAAAGCTACAGTATTCCTTAGTAAAAACATAACTTATTGGTAAAAAACTTGTTTTTATACATTATTACGTAATATTATAACTTACGTTGGGAGTTTTGACGAAAAATATTTAGTTTGTCAATGAAGTTCTTAAATTTATTTACGGTATATATGACATATTGAATTGATAGATAATGTAGCGATGATAACATACCTAGTATGTATGAGAGAAGAAACGTAGTAAGTCTCGCTATCACACAAACCGGAAAAAATATTTCGTCATAATAGGTGTTATAAAAGAATTCAAAGAAAGTCGTCAGATATGGGTCTTCGATCATATTCATACTTAAAATCGTCAAGTAAATCGGTAAGTAACAAATTACAGAAGATTCCAAATGTTGTGAATTCTAAGCGGAAACCCGCAAACAAAATACTAATAAAACTTTAAGTGACAAACCCTTAAGGTCGAATGCGGTCAACGCACGAACATCTTTTTTAAACCATTAACGACACACGTGCGACAAAGTTACACGACAGCTATTATGTAGAGACAATCCACAGGTCACGAGGTGTATTTAATACAGCATGCATCATGAATAACGATACTGATGTCGACTCCTAATAGACCACGTTGCGTGACGATCACTCGGGACCTTAATCGACGCCAAAATTAAAACAACTATCCGCTTTCGACGCTAAAACACCTGCATTACCAACATTATCAGGACAACCTATTAATTTTGTGAAAATTTAATAAACAATCTCATGAACGGCAATTACGGTATTACATTCTATAAAATAAGATTGAGGTCGATGTAATCGACCCTCATTCAAAGGAAGCGGAAAAAATTAACGTTTAAGCTCTTCGAACTTAAAGTATCCTTTTATAGCAGCGTTGAAAAGGGACTGCACTTTCATAAAATCTTTGTAGATTAATTTTTTGAAAGTATTCCGATTGAAGAGCGGAAACGAACGTCGTCGGTCTATTTCAGTTTTGATTTATGCGCCAGGATCCCGCTCGGTTGGGTGGCAATGTGGCATATTAGTGAGAAGCGGATTGTTCCTTTATAATTTATTAACTTCCGCGTCACACAACTAATTGTATTTCGATATACAGAAACGCGTGTCAATCTTGTTTGAGAGCTTGTAAGTGCTACACTAATTGTTATAGAGAACCTGTTTACCGACATTGATTTATTTATGGCTAAACTGACATCGACAATCCGTTTTAATATTTTCATTTGTAATAAATATTGAATGATTAATATCTGAATCCAGTGTTTATTATAACATAAATATGTTCAAACATCGAGTTTAATGTGAGCTCTCATGCTCTTAATAGGATACAGCAGCGAATGGTATAGAGCAATTGTAAAGTCCATTAGGCAGCTGGAGGCGTACCGCGTGCGCGATGCGACCTAATATTTGTCATTAGGAGCTATGTTGTTCGCTGTAAGCCGGTAAGGTCGTTGGGGTTGTGCCGTTTGTGAGAGGCCAAATTATTTATTATATATATTTTTATTTTGCAATGAAAATCCCTCTTTGGTTATTTTTTAATGTTACCGTTGGGTATAGTGATGTTCATTTAGCGGCTTATGTGATAGCTTAATGTTTATGGTCTTGTGAATAAGTAATATTGTGATTTTGATATAAATCACTTTTGTTTTCATGCTTTAGGGGTTATGAATAAAGGGTTAGGTTAAAATTCTTGACATCCTGTAACTATTACCTAAAGTAACCTGTCGATAGTAATCAAATTCACGTCATTTTGACCGCTAAAGGGTCATGACGAAGGTTTTACAATTCAATTAGCCGCGCCAGGTGACGACGAAAGCCGACGCAACGTTTACCCAACCCGCGACTAACATTTTATTATTCAAAAGTGTTTTATCGGGCTATATAACGATATTCATAGTTTTATTTTAATAATTTACAATCGCCCTTTGCAGTTGCTTAACCTGAATATTAAATATTTATAAGATACAATCTTTATAATCGAATGTTTATAGACGGTCAAAATGTGAAACAACAGTGTCATCGAGAAAAAATTATGGTATTATTTTGTAATTATAGATTATACGCGTCGATCCGCTACAAGTTAATTTTGATCTTGTTAAAAAATTACTAAAACTTAATGTAAGAAATTTTCAATAAAAATAGATACAATTTTACAAAACCAAACCATTTAATGATTCTCAGAACTTTTAAATGGCATAAGTATCTCAGGCTCCGGTATAAACGACAAAGTTTTTAGAATGACAACATGAATATTATAAAAATCAAGTCGTTTAATTGATTGTTTAAACGTATTTTAACAGTTAAAAGCTATTGACTTATGTAAAATGTATTTGGTATATCACTGAGGAATTGTGTTTTAATTGGAATAAATAGCATTCACTACATTTCCCGCTGAAAATATTATAAAGTTATTTAAAGAGTCATGGCATGAAAAAAGACAAACAGACACACAGATATTAGGTAATATATTTTGTTTCTTTTTGAAGTTGTTAAAATAATGATTTCTAATTATTATCATTATATAAAAAACAAGGTATTTATTTATACAATCAGATCATTTGACAGCCGGCTAAGTTGGTGACCAGCCGGCTAAACAGGTGATGGACAAGTCCCCAAAATTATAATTG